GCTAAGAAAGAAGTGGCAGATCATTTCCAGATCCGTACAGCTTGTTTGTTGCCTCCCCACCTAAAGACCAGCCTGCTCCACAGCTTCACGTATCGTTCTCGTGGGCAGCTTGTCTCTGCAGGAGAGGTGTAAATGACAGGAGCTGTGACTAACCTCATCATACATGGCTCTCATCCAGAGGACAATATGCTCCCAGTCTGCCTCGTTGCATCCTCTGCTTTTTCTCCAATACTATAGATCTTAGAGGCAGAATGTTGCCATATTTTTTGGACTATAAGGCTTAAAATCATTAAATTTTCTCAAAAATCTACAGTGAACCTTATAATCTGATGCACCTTATACTGTAGTGAGAAAAATATGGACCTTTTAAATGTTCACCTATTTGCTTCTGATGTGTTTTTGCAACACATTCTCCACGCGTGTCAATATACGACGAGTGGGGGAGTGAGAACATGTTGGGTTTTGTGTTGTTTATAAAGGGGGAGAAATTACAAAATATTGTTTTTGTTGAAAATCTTTTATACTCATTTAAAAAAAAAACAGAACTTTGTTTTGGTGGCATATTCAAAATGTGCTTCACTGTTAGCAAAAATGTCCTGTGTCCTTTGCCCCGTTCTCCTCAGGCAGAAGGTTTCAGAGAATTAAGTGTAGAGCCACTAGACTGAGGAACAGCTTCTACCCTGAAGCTGTTAGACTCATGAATCTCTAAGCAGGATAATCACTGCAAGAAAAACAAAAGAAGAGGAAAAATCACTGTAATTCCACTTTAATTGATGATTTATGACTTATCTGTGCTGCTGATTATCCACGCTGCTGATCTCTTGCCTTTAAGCTGCTGTATTCATACTCTGTTCACTACAGACTCATGTTCAGGCTGCTGTTTAATATAACGTATTATTTTACATTATTAGTGTTTAGCGTATATATTAGTGTATGTCTTAGATTATTGTATACTGTTGCTTTTTATGCTTTTATATTTTGCTATTTTTGGCTGTAACTGGGACCTTGAGTACACAATTTCTTTCCACCTCATGTACTACATGTGATGCGAATGACCATAAAGAACCTTGAACCTAATGTTTTGCACTTAAGTTACAGCTCAAGACTTATAGTGGAATTCCTTTTGAAATACTCCTTTTAGTTTCTATTTTTGTTTGTTAAAGTTATTTTATTTTATCATTTACCCTTTATTTATACAGGTAGTCTCATTGAGTCACGAGAACTCCTTTTCAAAGAGAAAGCTGTTTAGGGAGCAAATGGTGGGGGTTAAGGGCCTTGCTCAAGGGCCTAGAGTGAGGCGAATGAGGGTGGAGGCAGGTGTGGGTGTTTCACCTTTTCCACCCACATTTTGATGTTGACGGTACCGGGAGTTGAACATGCGACTTTCTGATCACAGGCCCATCTTCTAACCTCTGCGCCACCGCTCCCCCATTTCTTTAACAGCCAAAAATGAACACTCCACTTGATTGGTTTTGCTGTGGCAGATAAAAAAAATAAAAAAAAAGTGAAATCTGTTATTTACTTACTTATTGTACTGCAGGAACATTGTACAGTATACGTCTAGTATATGATTTTTTTAATCTTCAAAATCATAATACTACTAATAACGTGTTGTCTTCTTTTTTAAGAAAACTGACTAGATGCGAAGCCATCAAGTCAGTTTAATTCTGGCTTGAAATACATTTTATTTCCTCATATAATTATCCGTATCCAGGGCAAATAAACATATTGAATGTTAAACAAGTCCTTCAGGCTTTTCATGCGTTGTGCGGCCAATAAAGTCAATTCCTATGACAACCTTTTCAAATCTGCTTTTAATTCATCTCCTTATTAAAACAAGCGCCTCTCTTGCTGTGTGAAAGTAATGTGGGGATGAATGGTATTTGAATTTCTTATAAGCGCTGATAAACTGGAACGTCACTGGAGACCCAGCGACGCTCATCTCCATTATCAATCAAACCACAGCGAAGCCAAGTCCCCCAGTTGAAAATCAATAACATGCTTCATTTAATGCCCTGTAATGCCAGACAAATGTGTTTGTGGTATGAAGTGACACACACACACACACACAATTGAGCCCCGAGGGCTTTGTATTGTTTTCTGCCAGTGAAAAATACCGTGGTCTGTGCTTTGTCGTCTCATCTACCACTTGTGTGAGAACTCATGTGTAATGACTGCAGGATGTGTGTGTGCAGAAGAGACAGTAAAAACTAACAGAAGCTCTTCTGCCCTCATATATATATATATATATATATATATATATATATATATA